AAGGCGGGGAGATGGCGGGGGCGGGGGGGCTGGGAGGCGAGGGGGCGGGGAGAGGGCGGGGCGGCGAGGCTGGTGGCCGGGAGCAGCTCCCGGATCCAGGCCTTGGGAGGGGGGGACCTGGGGCCGCGGCGGGTCGGATGGCTGTGTTTACGCAGAGGGGTGTGGCGGGACAGGGAGACGAGGGTCGTTTTTGCACAGCCCCCGTGTCCGCACCAGTTCCTTGGCCTTTAACTTTTCGCCCTCCTCTCATCTCTGATTTTCGTTCCCTCCTAGTTAGATTTTCTTTAAAAAAAAAAAACACAACTAACATACACAGTTGTCGTGGCCCAGGGGTTAGACGTACAGGCTTTGGCACTAAAGGCACCCGGATCTGAGTTTGCGACTGTAACGCTTAGTTTATTACTCCTAGGAACCTCAGGTTCTCACCCGTAAGATGTAAATAATACCTAGTGCACAGTGCCTGGTGCTTTACAGCCAACAAAAAATAGTACCTTTTAACATTTTTATCACAATCATTATCAGCAATGTCTGACCAGTTATCACAGAGGATATGTTTATAACCAAGCATAAGCCACTCGAAGTCTAAGTGGCATATTTCTGGGGGTTGATTTTGCAAACTGCTGCAAGAACCTTAAAAGGCATACTTTCGTCTAGAATTTCCACATATGGGAATTTATTCCAAGGAAAAATAAATACAAACCGGATGTTTATTGCAGAATTGTTTTAAATAGTGAAAACTGGGAACAAATGCCTTATAAGAGGATATGGCTAAGTCAATTAGACTATTATCAATGGTGCGACATTATCACAATGTTATTCTTATAACTACAGAAGAATCAAATAGTATAGAAGTATATTACCTTTAACAAGTATGTACTGGATGCCTAATACATACACCTCAAGTATTATTCTGTCTGTGCTGTGCATTGCAACCACTAGCCACAGATGGCTGTTGAAATGTAGTCTGTACTGAGATGTGCTGTGAGGGTAGATTACACAGTAGCCTTTAAGAATTAGTATGAGAGAAAGAATGTAAATTATCTCCCTTTTTAATGGTGATAACATGTTAGGGAAGGATGTTAAGGTTAAATAAAATATAACATTAAAATTAATTTCACCTTTATCTTTTTACTTTATTAATGTAGTTATTACAACATTTAAAATGATAGATGTTAACATGCATTACAGGCGTAACTCAGAGACACTGTATGTTGGGTTGCAGGCCACTGCAGTAAAGAGAGTCAAATGAATTTTTTGGTTTCCCAGTGCATATAAAATTTATGTTTACACTATACTGTAGTCTATTAAGTGAGCAGTAAATGGCATTAGGTCTGAAAAACAATGTACATACTTTAATTAGAAAATACTTTATTGCCAGAAACTGTTAACCACCATCTGAACTTCCAGTGAGTCATAATCACTGATCACAGACCATCATAACAAATACAATAATAATGAAAAAGTTTGAAATACTGTGAGAATTACCAAAATGTGACACAGAGACACAAAGTGGGCAAATGCTATTGGAAAAATGGCGCCAATAGACTTGGTCAATGCAGGGTTGCTACAAACTTTAAATTTGCAAAAAAAACAAAAAACAAAAAACCCACAATATCTGTGTAGTGCAACAAAGCTGAACTCAACAATAGATGCCTGTATATGTTTCTATTGGACTATTGGTCAGTGGTATTCTATTTACAGATATACAATGACAAGTAAGACAGTTTTTGACCTTATAAAAATGAGCACTGTTGAGAAGAGCATAGACAATGAACAGATAAATAATTGTACATCGGGGTAACTTATATGAAGACAAGAAAGCAGGGTGAGGGCCATAAAGTATGTGTATATTGAGGGGGGTTATTTTAGACAAGATTCTTCCTCCCTGTTCAGAAAATGGATGTGGGAGGAAATGAGATATTTACAGATAGAATGGGGAGTGGATGGCAGGGGTGTGGTGTCTGCTGAGAAAAGTCAGGTATGGATTGAGGCTGATAAATAATTGGGGCCTGGGGGACTCTCTGCCTCAGGGAAGAAACCACATCAGGAGAAGGAAAGAGAAGAGGGGTCAGCTGCCAGGGTGAGAGGACTGGGTGTGTGTGTGTGTGGGGTGCCTGGGGGAAAGGTAGAGCAAAGCTAGGCCTACAATGGCCGTTTCAGGTAGAGGAGTTACTGGAGGACTGAGAGATGTGCTATAGCGCTCCAAGTGTGTGAATATATATAATGGTATTACTCTGGCTGCTGTGACAGAGACCCAGGAGAAGAGTGGCTCAAACCATTAGGAAATGTATTGCTGTCTCCGTGTGCAAGGTGGATCCACAGGGCCAGGGACTCATCCCCTGGAGGGCCAAGTCACCCCTAGTTGAGAACCGCTGCTTTAAGGGTACTACCCAGACCATAACACTTCTGGTCAAATCCTACTAGTGGCCAGAAATTCATTCTTCAGCCATCCTAATGTTGGGGGAGCGTTGTGATTTTCCTCGGTCCTTGTCCCTGCCGCAACAAGGAATTGAAGGGCAGAGACACAGTTAGGGAAGTAGAGTGAAAGTTTTATTTAAAATGACTTAAAGAGAGAAAAAATACAGGCCACCTCAGCAAGGAGAGGCACCCTGAAAGGTTTGGAGAAAGTTTAAGATTAAAAGGTTACACACTTAGAAAGTGCGGGTGACCTCAGAGAGAGGAGCGCCCTGAAAGGCTGGGGGTTCCCCCTTTTAAGGATTTTTCAGGAATGTGACTAAGGGCTGGGGGTGCAGACCTGTTAAGTGGTCTTTGAATACTTAGAATTAACGTAACACAAGGAAGTTCCTGCTCTGATTTCTCCCTGGGATACCGGCGTCTTGGTCTGGGAGCAGATCAAACAGGCTGCCTGCCCAGCCCCCAAGGTGGGCTGAGTTACAGTGTTTGCTAAAGAGTAAGTTAAGAACCTTACATTTTTCCTGGGTATTAAAATACAATCTTTAAGTTGGAATGCTTCCTGCCTTTTACTATGTTGTTTACGGCTGGGCCTGCATGATTAACACAATACATACATGGGCTATGCTGAGGCACCCTCCTTTATCTGGGGAACATTCAAACATTCCAGGCCAAGTTACTCTTGCCTTCTTGAGTGTTAATTGATTAACTTTGGGTCTTTTTGGTGGACTTTCCTGGCCTTTTTCTCTTTCCATCCCGCTCATATCTATTTTCCCGCCTAACATTAAGAGGAAAGGAATCTTGGAAACTGTGGCCGAATGAGGAGGTGGCCCTGTGTTTTTCATGTTCCAGGCTGACTTTTAGTCATTGTTCATTTTTAATTCACTTGCATAAACTATCGGTGATGGGGAACACTAAGCACCCCCCAAAATGACACTCCCGTTGGAAAAGGATGGGCACTGTCACTTTCGAGGGCTCACCAGGGAGTGAAACTGGATTCTGAAGCGGAGGCTGCTGAAGGTTGGATTTTTTACTTGTGTTGTAGCGCCATCTGGTGGATATTTACAAGTCCTGCCGTTCCTCATCCTCGGGTATGGCCTGTCATTTGTCTCAGGTGTAAACCTCAAATTATACGTAACCCTTAAATGGATTTTGGCAAAACTTTAAAGGGTCTTTTCAGATGAAGAACTCTTTGAAGCTGGTTTCTCACCCTCGTCCCTATTGGCATTTGGGGCCGGATCATTCTTTTTGTGGCCGGGGCTGCCCTGGACAATGGGATGTTTAGCAGCCTCCCTAGCCTCCACCCACCGGATGCCCGTAGTAACCCTATCCATTCTCTCTCCATTTGTGACAACCAGAAATTGCCAAATCTTCCCTGGGGGGCAAAATTGTCTCCAGCTGAGAACCATTCCTTTCAACAGAGCATCTGAAAGTCCACGGTCTATTAAGGCCATATGCCACAGCAGTTTCCTACCAGTATCAGTGTATCCTGGGAGTGGCTGGTCGGTCCAGGAGGGAGGCAAGACAGTACTGGGAGAAAATGAGGCTCCGGGTGCAGCATGACATGCCTTCTTTTCAATGCTCTGGAGAACTCTCTGCCTGCTTGTTGCAACAGCTGGAGATGAGATTGACTGAAAGGCCTGGCGAGAGGATGCAGTTTCTTTAAACCCCCAGGGCAAGGAAATCTACAGAGGCCGTTGTCTAAAGTAGGAAGTAGCAGAGAATAATCCCAGCCCCTGGTGTTGGGGCCACAAGGATCCCCTCAGGATGTACAGGTGTGGGTGACCCTGCCAGGTGTGGGAATCCAGGGCGAATCGTATGGGGCTTTTTAGGCCCCTCACCCTTGGTCCCCTTTGCCACATGAGAGTTGTGGAGGAACTCGTTGGGAGCCAGTCCCCTTGCTTGGGTCAAGGAAGTGGTGCTAAACCACCTGCAAACAGTCCTGAGTTCTTGTTTGTAAGCTGCAGAACAGAAAGTCCATTTCTCAGGAGCATTCCCTAGTGGGGTCCTGGCTTCAGGTCCCTCCAAGGGCCTCTCCTGCAATTTCCCTTAGATTTCACCTTCGTCTGCCCCACCACTCAGACCCTCTCTTTCAGCAGATGCCATCCCCTCCTACTGACCAAATGCAGATGACCAGGTACAGCTGTATCACTGTCTGATCTCTGCTTCACCATGCCTCTTGTTTTAGAGAAAGAGGTGCCTTGGCTCCTGCCTAGGCCAAGCCATCCTCGTGTTTTCTGGATCCCCTCCCCGTCCTCACCGGTGCCTCATGCCCTCAGTTATTCCCCTCTCTTCCCCAACTCCTTCCTCATCAGCACCCACCTGGCTCAGGCACTCTGATCTTTGTAATAGTTTGGGTTGATTTCTCATCTCTCACTCCGTGCTGTTCTTTCTACTTCTCTTTTTGGTCCTACTGCTGTAAAAAGTGGGCTACCTTGATTTCTTTGCCCCTTTTCAACTCAAACCACTGCCATTTCTCTTCTAGCAGGTCTGTTCCAGCAGAACTGTTCCACCAAGGCTTCTGCCGACCTCTTCCCATCAGCTGGTATTTGGCCTCTCTGCAGCATTTGATACTACTGACCATGTCCTCTTTCTCTGCAGCTACCACATTTCCCCTCCCCAAACTGCATAAGTAACATGTGCTTAGTGCACAGAACAAAACACAAGAATAAACTAAACACAAGAACACCACCACACATCTCAGACACCACATGCACTTAAGCACAAAGGAAAGCGGCACTCCCAACACCATTACTTTAAAATAATCGTGGTATATTTAGTGTATATCCTCCCACATTTTTTTCTCCCTTAAAATACATTTGTCTGTTTTACTCTTCTGTGACTGTTCATGGAGCACGTTCTCTATGTCAGCACAGTCCTAGGCCTTATGGATCTGAACAGTGAGCCATCGGAAAATCCATTCCTACCTGGCCTATTGGAAGCACCATTTTTTGGTTAATAAAATGTCTTTGGCTTCCTATGATTTGCAACCCATAGTCATCACCTTGAAGTAGGCATCAGACTTAAGTAATCAAGACTAAGAACGTACAGTTAATTATGTAAATACAAGGAAACTGACAAATCTCCAATAATGACATAGACACACATTTTTCTGATACAAATTTCAAAGAAAATAAAAAACCACTGCTGCAAAAAAATTAACTGATGCTATCTATGTCTATATATCTATCTATACATATATATCTTACTTTGCAAAATGACATTCTGGTTTTAACATTAATTCCATTTTTATTTGCCTCATTTGCTGGCTGAATACTTTGGCTTTATTTTATTTTTATTTATTTATTGAAGTATAGTTGACATACAGTATCATATTGGTTTCAAGTGTACAACATAGTGATTCAACAGTTGTATATATTATTAAATCCTCACCCCAACTAGTGTAGTTACTATCTGTCAACGTAGAAAACATTTGGAATGCTTCATGAATTTGCATGTCATCCTTGCACAGGGGTCACACTAATCTCTGTAGCCTTCCAATTTTAGTATATGCAGGAGCACTTTCCACGTGTTTTGTACATTAATAAATTTAAACAAGTACATACTACTCTTTTTCTTATACACACACATATACAACCAAATGCGTCTTGTTGTAGAGCCGATCGTATAACTCTTCCCCAGGAAGCTGACTCTGTGATGGAGATTAGGGTGCAGGATGTTTATTAAGGAATGACCTTAGGACCAACACCTGAAAGAAGCAGGAGTGGGTAGAACACGGTTTCTCAACCCGGGCATATTGACACTCTGGACCGGGTAATACTTTGCCGTGGGGCTGTTCTGCGCATTGTGGCAAATTCAGCAGCATCCTTGGCCTCTATCCTCTAGATGCCGATAGCACTCACTAACACACACACACATACACACATACCCTCTCCCTCCAGTTGTGACGACCCAAACCGTCTCCAGACACTGCCAAGTATCCTGGGGCTGGAGGCAAATCACCCACTGGGGTGGAGAGAAGAGCTGAACTTGGATGTGAGCTAACAACAGTCTTTGTGGACTCCATGGGCACCTCGGGAGCTAGATGGGCCCTTCTGACCGCGTGCAGCAGTTGCTGCACGTGGGCCCCTGGGAAGGGGCGTGGCACTGGGTGAGGCGGCTCTCCGTGGCTGGAGCAAGACCTTCACTGAAGGGGGGTCTGGGCTTTCCCAGGGTTCACAACATGCTACTCTATGTTCTTAATCTACTTCTCAGCATTTTCCACTCAATGATAAAACTCTTGAGAATTGGGGCCGTGCCTTACTTGCTTCTGTGTCATAAAAACCTAACATACTACATGGGAATAAATACTGGTTAAATGAAATCATGAAATGAAATGGAGCAATAATCGTGCTTCCTTGTATATTTGCAAACTTAAATACTATAACGAAAGGCTTCATTATGCGTTTTCCTGATATAAGGGAAACCAAAAAGATTAGTCCATTTTTACATTATTGTATTTAATTATGAGTACTTTTTTAAGAAGTGGCAAGAGTCACTATCAGCTGATAATACTAAATAGTACTGAGCTAATTTTTAATAGTGTCTTGAATCTTCAGTAGATGAGATTCTTTATCAGTAATCTAGAAGTAGAGCTACGGGATTGGTGTGGGATGGAGCCAACTAATTTATGAAATATTACTCAGAATTCAAGTAATGAAAATTTTTGCTTAAATAGATAAGATTATAAACACTATGTGTGTAACTCTTCAAAACAGTACCTATCTCCGTCCAGCAGAGGGTGCAGCTGTACAAATTACTGATAGAGAAAAAACAGGGGGAACATTAATCTCAGGCATATGCTACAGTGACATATATCACCATGTGTAAAGATGTGTAACTAGACATGTAAAGTTCAATAATGGGTGCTTTATAGACTGCATTCCCAGCTCTAAGCTTTCACATTGTTTTTAAAGTTATTATATCATCAGCAAGCTCAGGTTAGGTTAAAGTTGGCCTCTAAGTAATACTGTTAATTTCAACTGGCTTAAATCATTTAAGCCCAACAACATGTAAGGGTTTTTTTTAGAGCATAACTTCACATATGGTATGTTTTCTGTTCTCAGAAGATATTTTACAGGTTATTACACAGAAGTAAAACACACCTATATTTAATGTGCCATATTCCCCTTTATAGATCACGAAAAAATGAAGTTAATAGTGCCCCCCTCCATATATTTTCAGACTCTTCTTGGCATGGATATTGTACATGATGAGGTCATGTGGTAAAATGTGCAAAGCCCTGTTCTAGGGGGTGGAAGATTTGGCTTTGTCCCTTACTGGCTGTGTGACCTTGGTCAAGGCACTACTTCTTAGAGCCTGTCTTCATCTGTTAATGGAGGAACAATGATGCCCACTGGGCCTGCTTCACAGAACGGGTGATGTGTGCTCACGGTGTGAGCGCCGTGGACATGGGTCATCGGTGCCAGAGTACAGGAGTAACTGAACAACTGCAGCTGTCAGAAGTGGCCACCAGATGGCAGCCAGACTCGAGTGTTTCTCACTGTGAAGCATTTGAATCCCCAGGTTCCTGGCCAATTCAGCGCAGTGGGAGGCAGCAGGCTCCGAATGAGTGGTCAGCAGGGAAGAGGGCTTTGATTAGTGTTACCACCTTATTTTTACCACAACCTCATAAAACAGATCACCCTTCAGATGAGTTACTTACTTTAGATATGTTTCGAATTCCATTTTGGGGAACTTACCCTTTGCTAGTAATTCAAAACTATAAAAGGATAATAGCTATATATGTTTTTTTATATACTGTGTTAAAAAGCAAAATCCAATCGAGTACATTTGAATACCTAATTGGCTTTATTAAATGATTCATGAATAGGGCAGCATCCCTTCGAGCAAACAGAGATGCTAAAATGGAATGTTTTTATAAGGAAGGGTGGGGCAAGAAGTTATTAGCAAAAGATTGTCTCAAGCCAGGGTACCTTCCTTTTTGGGGAGAAGGGAATGGCAGGGTTTTTATGCAGATTACTTCACTGGCACTGACCAAGAAATATCAGATTGATTGTTAAAGGGTCAATCCATTTTGGGCTTGTTTATCTTTTTACTAATTGTTTATGGATAATTAGTGAAATTGGAAGCAATTTAGGAACATGGTATACTAGGCAGCCGTCAAAATGAAAATTATGACTATTTTCGAGGTGCATGGAAAATAAGTGTGATGAATGATAAGCAAAATAAGAGCAGAATGAATTATGTGTCATGTTAGTAACTATGTAAAAATCGAGAGCATATGTGTCTGGGAAAAAGTGGCACTAAAGGTGGAATGGTAATAACTTCTGTTAAAAAGGAAAAGGAAAAGTCCAAAATGGAGTCATTTGCCCCCCCCAGCAAACCAAGGCTTCATAGTTTCAACCTATCCCAGGAATGTGAGCTTTTAACAGTCAATATGAAATTTCCTGTGAGGTGGTGTGCATGGTAAAAGCCCTGCCATTCCCCTACCCCGCAAAAAGAAGATGTCCTGACCTGTGACAATCCCTTTTTTCCTTTTGCTAATAACCTCTTGCCCCACCCTTCTGCCTATGAAAACCTTCCATTCGGTACAGTCCCCAGAGCCTCTCTCTACCCGCTGGAGGAGATGCTGCCCAATTCATGAGTAGCTTAAAAAAGCCAATTAAATCTTCAGATTTACTCAGTTGAATTTTGTTTTTTAACACCCTTGACATATCAGAGAGTTAGTAGTCTCTCTCTTTCTATATCTCTTGTCTTTTTGTGTCTGTCTTTCCTTCCTAATTCACATTATTGCTGTTATAGTGATATTGGCAGAACATGACACTTCTAAAGAGATTTTCATGCTTTGTTTGAAATACAGCAGTGCCTAAAATACCCAGCATTAGAGGGAAGAAGTGGTAAGTTTAAATGATTTATGAATTTGGTATTTTGTTAAAAATTTTTTAACTGATTAAAAGACTAAAATTTAAAAGATCATTTTTTTCCTGATCTTAACTCAAACACAAAGACAACAGCAAAACCATTTTGGCTAGAAATCTTTCTAAAATGCATTGCATCCCATCCTGCCTTTTCCAGCAGTTTCCGGAACATATCCTGTTCTTTTCTTTCAATCTCAAGCTTACCACGGTGAATGTCAATTTCTCTCCCACACTAGAATACGATGATGTCCTCATGCACAGTTCAGGTATAGGGTTATCTGCTTCTACATGGCATGATCAGATCTCTGAGTTTTGATTCCCTGATGCTTTTTGTGCTGTTTGGTCTTCCTCTCTCTTGCCATCTATCAGGTGTCATTTGCACGGATGCCAGTGTCCCAGCCTTTGGCAAACTTCCTTCCCTAACCACCTAACACGCTTGCTGCTTCTAATGTGCCTTGTTGGAAAATCACGCAATCGAGTTTACTAGAGTTTGCAGAGAGCTCCAAAGGGCCTTCCACTCTATGTAAGTGTTTGGATGATGCAGACAGGGCCGTATCTATTTTGATCGCTCAGAGGTATTTTGGCTTGTTTCTCAGCTCTTGGCTATTTCCTGGCCACACGGAGGTCTCAGGGAAATGACCTCTGCACAAGGGACATGCTGCTGTAGGGAACATAAAATCCTGGCTCTCAGACGGAAAGCATAGTAGTAGTGGATCCAGGCAACACCAACAAATCAATGGAAACTGAAAGCAGACTCAAGCGATCCATAGTCATTAAAAATCCCACGCTTGCACCTCTCCATTCTTTTCCCATGTCACTTCATCCTTTCCATTCATAGACTTCATCCTGGTCCAAGTTTATCTCCAATTTAGAAAGGAGCAATAAAACAAGAAAAAGCAGAAATTATACAAAATGGGGAATAATGATTTATGTGATTCAAGGATCTTCTCCTTTAGCCAACCAATAGATAGCACACATTTTGAACACAAAAGGCATATTTTTAACACATAAAGCAGGTTGCTGATGCTGTGAAAACTCAAAAGCAATAGGCACTTATGCTCCCTACCCTCATTTTTTCCCCTGCAAAATAATTAACTGTAGGAATAGAGTGGACCACTTTTGTTATTAAAACTGAATTAAATATATGTGCTATATAAATTCAGGTATTTCTGCTACCTAGGTTCAGTGCTATCTTCAAGTTCAATGTTAGTCACAGTGAATATGTAGGCATTGTTTTGAGGAGAGTTTCTACCATAGTTTATTGAATTCCATCCCGCTCTTGAAGGTATTTACGCACTTTCAGGGCCTAGGAAAACTTACCACACTTTTAAACCTCCTCTTTCTTCCCCTAAATACCCGACAAATTGGCAATAACCACAAAACAAAAAAAGCAAATGCACCCCCCTAACCTTCAGTGGTTAAAAGATAACTTATAATGGGACATAATTTTTGGTTTCTTTTGCTTAGTTCTAAAGAAACTTATAGATTCCATGGATCTATGTGAAAGAAGTGACCTACACTTAGATCAGTGTAGGAGAAATGACCATCTTCTAAGAATCAGTGCAAGTTGCTGGAGAAATTTTTGTTCGGCGTGATTAGAAATGATCATTAGTACCAGATAATGGGTTGGAAGGTGCATATACTGTTT